ATTAATTAATAAATATTTTTAAATTACGAGCTATAATACAGTACAGTAGACATAGTATAGTACAATATTTTTATTAACTAATAAACACTTTTAAAGTACGAAATATAGTACAGTACAGTAGACATAGTATAGTGCAATATTTTTATTAATTAATAAACATTTTTAATCTACGAGATATATCAATCAGTACAATAACGTGTAAAATTTCCAAATCTGTGAATCGTGTTGTAACAGGGACGAGTTAAATTAATCGATAAATCGTGTTCGTCACGGTAATTACAATATACTCCACCGTCAATTCAATTCGATCGACTGTAGCAAAAGTCATTATATTTATTTTTACATTCCAACGCTCTTGAACGTGTATATTGCGGTTTCATTCTCGCTTGAAAACGCACGAGACCGAAAGAGAAAACATTGAATTTCTCCACCGAAGAACGCGGAAGCCCGTTTTCATCGTTATCAGGTACAATCGGAGTGTTTCTTGCTTCTAGGGAACTTGGTTTGCAACAGCACCGCCTTGCCGAACAATAATACAACGTTCATCACCAACGACACCTGCGTTAATTGGAATTACTACTACACGGAGTGCAAGGGTCAGGGTAACAATCCTTTCCAAGGAACGATATCGTTCGATAATATCGGTCTTGCCTGGGTCGCAATATTTCTTGTGAGTGTCCCAGTTCCCCGCCGGCATTCAGAAATTGAAACTCCGCTCCTGTAGCCAAAATTTCCGTGATACGAGCGTCCAGTTTCCGAATGTTCAAGGGAAACTGCTAATATTAGTGCTATACACACACACATACACACACGCACACGCACACACACGTACATCAGCACGATCGAATGAATACTTTTTAACGTATGTTCGAGCTGGTTATTTTGACTAGTATAGTACGAGGTCAAGGATTCTTTCGATTGGCCAACCTTAGCTATTCTGTATAGCTCGTAATTAGACTGCGGATGTTTGTGCGCTCGTGAGAGTCATAAACGTTGTAAAGAAACAGAGGAGAGACTCGACCACGCTCTGAATAATTGATTGGAACTTTTATGGAGCGGTTATAGGCAACCTTCTCCTTTTTTTTTTTTCCTCTTTCGCCTTTTGCACGAGAGAGAGGGTCGTTTTTGTGTGTCGAACTGTTTCAGAAATATTAATCCTTCCCTCCCCCTCTTTTTTTTTTCCTTTTTTTGGTTAGATTTTTGAAAAGAATTTCGCATCAGTCGAAATTGATCTCGTTACACGTATTTTTAAATGAAACGGATTTTTCAGACAGCCACCGGGAAATATCGTTTATATTAAACTGTTGGCGTTGAATAAGGATATTAGAAACACTAATGTGAAAATAAAGAAATAAAATTTTTAGTACGGTGATTTCTTTAATTGTAGAAATATTGGCGTTAAGTACGAATGAAAATTTCTTCTAACGAGAGATTTCAATTTTCACTGAGAGGTCATTGCTGAAAAAAATCTTACTTATTAACACGACAGTGATTCGACAATCGAGACTGCACCGAAAAGTATGACGGAAAAATATGTGGAAAATACTCGGTTCAAAGCAATCCGACAACAAGTCATTTCTTTAGCTGGGAATTCGCACAAACATCTACAGTCCGTTCGCGTAAACGTTCTCTTTACCTTGTAACTTCGTTTATTCACCTTTCAAACAAACACCGCAGTCGTTGAGAACAATTTAACAATTCGTTTTCAGTTATTTAATAATTCCCAACGATCCGAGTGCCGCGAGATAATCACCTCTGGCGAAATTTCGGGCAAAATTGTTAAAGCGAAATGATGATGTGATCGCAGGTGATCAGTCTGGAGGGATGGACAGACATAATGTACTACGTGCAAGATGCTCACTCTTTCTGGGACTGGATATACTTCGTCCTTTTGATCGTGGTACGTTCATTATCCCATGCGGAACACACGATACGGTAAACTATGGTGTGGAATGTAGAATATCCGGCGCACAAGGGTCTCGTTTCTTTCCAATCTCGTTTGACGTGAGGTAAACGAACCGAGTTTCGTTTGTTTCCTTGCGCCGTGAGATACAGAACGCTCTTTGATTAAATACTGACAAGTGTATTTAATCAATACGTGTGTACGTACGCGGAAAGTAGCAAAGAGACCGTATTCATGGATTCAGGTATCGCGACAGTGCAAAGCGAAACGTTGTTAACTTGCGCTGGAGTGACGTTGTGTCACGCACGTCGAGAATATTTGGCACAAAATTGCAATGTTTTCGCAGTTTTAACTATAACCCAGGCAAAACAAACGATAAATTTATTACTTCTCGATAATTTCTATCATACCGACGAGTTCAAAAGTAAAAGAAAGCGACGAATTATTGTATGACGATTCGGTCACTCGTTACGGTCCGCAATTAATTGCCAGTGAAAGTGGTTAACTTTGGCCCAAAATTGCAATATTTTCTCAGTTTTAAGTATATTGAAATACAACCTAGGCGAAACAGAAAACAAATTTGTTACTTCTTGGTAATTTCTATCGACGAATTCAAAAAGAAGACTTGTTACTGTATGACGGTTCAGACACTCGTTATGGTCCGCAATTAGTTGCCAGCGAAAGTGGTTAACTTTGGCTAAAAATTGCAATATTTTCTCAGTTTTAAGTACATTGAACTATTACCTAGGCGAAACAAATAATAAATTTGTCACTTCTTGGTAATTTCTATCGATGAATATAAAAAGAAGACTTGTTACTGTATGACAGTTCAGACACTCGTTATGGTCCGCAATTAGTTGCCAGCGAAAGTGGTTAACTTTGGCCCAAAATTGCAATATTTTCTCAGTTTTAAATATATTGAACTATAACCTGGGCAAAACAAATAATAAATTTGTTACTTCTTGGTAATTTCTATCGATGAATATAGAAAGAAGACTTGTTACTGTATGACGGTTCGGTCACTCGTTATGGTCTGCAATTAATTGCCATCGAAAGTGGTCAACTTTGGCCCAAAATTGCAATATTTTCTCAGTTTTAAATATATTGAAATACAATCTAGACGAAACAAATAATAAATTTGTCACTTTTTGGTAATTTCTATCGACGAATTCAAAAAGAAGACTTGTTACTGTATGACGGTTCAGACACTCGTTATGGTCCGCAATTAGTTGCCAGCGAAAGTGGTTAACTTTGGCTAAAAATTGCAATATTTTCTCAGTTTTAAGTACATTGAACTATTACCTAGGCGAAACAAATAATAAATTTGTCACTTCTTGGTAATTTCTATTGATGAATTTAAAAAGAAGACTTGTTACTGTATGACGGTTCGGTCACTCGTTATGGTCCGCAATTAATTGCCATCGAAAGTGGTTAACTTTGGCCCAAAATTGCAATACTTTCTCAGTTTTAAATATATTGAGCTATATAACCTGGGCAAAACAAATAATAAATTTGTCACTTGGTAATTTTTATCGACGAATTCAAAAAGAAGATTAGTTACTGTGTAATGGTTCGGTCACTCGTTAAATTAATTGCCAGCGCAAGTGGTTAACTTTGGCCCAAAATTGCTATATTTTCTCAGTTTTAAGTATATTGAACTACAACCTAAGCGAAACAAATAATAAATTTGTCAATTCTTGGTAATTTCTATCGACGAATTTAAAAAGAAGACTAGTTACTCTATGACGGTTCGGTCACTCCCAGTTACCAGAGGTTAACGGAGAGGAAAAGAAAGGAAGAAATGGAAACGGTTGAAATTGAACTGAATTTCGGTTACAGATTGGTTCGTTCTTCATGATTAATCTCTGCTTGGTCGTGATAGCGACGCAATTCTCCGAGACGAAGAAACGGGAGATGGAGAGGATGCGGCTGGAGCGTGCACGTTTTCATTCCACATCGACCCTCGCGTCGTCGACAAATACTTCAGAGCCGACTACATGCTACGCAGAAATTGTTAAGTGAGTATATATAGAGAAGTGCATTAGTTTTTCCTTTCCCACTTGACGATATCAACGGAATAAAATGGAAGTATTTGGCCCAACGTGAACGTGGCGAAAATGTAAAAATTCATTAGCAAGTTCTACTGCCAGAAAATTTGGATTTAGTCACGTGTCCTTAGTTGTCAATCGAATTAGAACTTTATTCTTCACCTTCGATCACTTTTGAAAATAATTTGACGATGTTGGAGTTGCATTTAATAAAATATATATATATTAATATATATATTTATTTATATTTTATATATATATCTATTTATATTTTATATATATATATATGAAATAAAATAATTCGAAATAAGTATATGTGAAAGGTACAATGATTTCTTTTATAATATAAAATTATAATGCAAGCTCGTAAGTCAGATATGTCAATTTTTATAATTTTTAGGTTTATAATTTTTAATAAGTTTGTAATTTTTATAATATATAGCACACTGTTTTCTAATTTTTTAATTTTACTCACTAGTTCCAAGTTCTATGTTAATTTCTAACAAACCGCGCTCTAATTTACTAATTTTTACATTTCCTTTCTTTGATATTTTTCGTTATAATATTGAATATAATATTTAGCTACTGTGTACAACGTGGGGGGAAAAAAAACACTCGTATTTCTGTTTTCAATTTTCTATCAACTTTCTAGTTTCAATTACAGAAAGCCGCGAGTGGCGTTTATTTTTCACGGATACAGCAGAATTTGAAATGTGCGTCACAATAACCTCCGACATGGAAATTTTTAGTTAGATTGAAAGTCCGAAGTCGAAACATTTTTTACCAGCTCATTTTATTACTTTTCGCAGATTACTTTCGAAACAAGTAGCACGAGAAACAAAGCGTACGAATTTCCAAGTGAAATTGAACGAACAATTTATTTATTACGAAATTCATTTATTATGAAAATCGGTGCCTAAAGTCGAGAAATAATTGATATTTCACTACGAATCACAATAACATTTCAAATGCTGCCAAAATATAGTTCGCACGATACTGATAACACAACGATTCTTTGTTTCCCGCTGAAAGGCACGCACTTTCAAAGAAATTTCCGTGTTATCTGTAAATGTTTGATAATTGAAATTATATTTAACAATTATACTTAATTAATATACAGAGAACTAACCAAATTAATTAAATATTAATTAACGTTGCATGAAATACAGAAAGAGAAGCTAAATTGAAAATTATATTATATTTTATGGCGATTTATATTATTGTGGCGATGAAACGTTTCTTCGAAGTTAATTGTTTTAGAAAGCTCATCGTCGATAAAATTTCTTCTTGTAAAATTCATACGGTGCTGTATCTGGAAAAATAAAATGGACGTTGTTACTCTCATTCCTTTGGGAGTGGCATACGTACATATATATGAATGCCACGGAAAAGGCAGTAAAAAGTTTGAAAATATGAAGCAAAAGTTTTCCTCGTTCTATCTAATAGTTCTCGAACGAAACCGGGTTTTGTTTGTTTCTCGATAGTTCCATTACTATATTATTCGCTCGTCGGCTTTATTAAATTTCTTTCCCACGAAAAAAGGAATCGAAAATTCGTGCCACGCGATATGAATCGTGCGTTAAACGGCGCCTTGTTAAATCTTCATTTTAAGCATGAAGATACTCAACGAAATAGCTTCGTTATTACGCTGTTTCTTGCCACTTTATCCTGAACAGAGATATCACGATAATTCTGTTAAATTTCTACTCAGGAAGAAATAATTAAATACTTTAACGTTATAGAAACTGAGCGTGGGTTTCTCTAAAATAGTTTCATTATTACGTTTCCTTATTTTTCAATATTCTCCTTTTCCTGTGCAGAAGATTTTAATTCATTACTATATAATACGTTACTATTAATACAATTACTATATAATATTATATATATTACTATAAATATATTATAGTTACTATATAACATATTTGCCATATAATATTCAGTAAATAATTATAATATCTATAATATTTAATATTATGTATAATATTTCAGTTATTTTATAATATTGTGATATTTGTGATATTTCAATTTGTAATATTATATATAATATTTATGATATTTTAATTATTTTATAATATTCCAATATTATATATAATATTTATAATATTTTAATTATTTTATAATATTGTAATATTATTTACAATATTTATGATATTTTAATTATTTTATAATATTATAATATTATATATAATATTTATGACATTTTAATTATTTTATAATATTGTAATAATATATATAATATTTATGATATTTCAATTATTTTATAATATTATGATATTATATATAATATTTATGATATTTCAATTACTTTATAATATTATAAAATTATATATAATATTTACGATATTTCAATTATTTTATAATATTATAATATTATATATAATATTTATGACATTTTAATTATTTTATAATGTTATAATATTCTAATAATATTTTTATTATATTATAATATTTAATAATAGTTAATATTATAATATTTAATGTACCAATTTACTATACTATAATATTTTACTTACGAGTTTCTTAGATCACATCAAGCATGGAATTTTTAATTTTAAAAAACTTTCAACTTACGTCATTGTTATACGAATATTATATTTTACTGCACTGTTCACGTTTCTTTTTCTTTTTATTTTTTTAATACACATTCCATTTTACTTGTAATTTTTTATACTTTCCCAAGAATCTTCAAGAGAATCTTACGAATTTGTGCGTATAATAATTTTCTATCTCATTATACTGTCTTTTACTATCAATTACCTTTGAAATTCCTAAATTTCCTAAATTTCATTTGCGAATACGAGCCGCTCTCGCTCAAGAAGAGAAGGTTAACAATGGCAGTTCAGTTTCCGAGGTAAGGGACGATTGAGGGCCGTGACAATGTCGCGAGAGCATACATTAAATAAAGTGGAAACGGTGCTCCATTGGTCCTCCACTCGAGGAATGAAGGGGCCCGGCCACTCGAAAATTGCCTTTTGCCTGTTCCATTCCGGTATAATCGTGTCGCGTGTTCTCAGATATATCGCACACCTGTGGCGAAGGGGCAAGAGGAGGCTAATGAAGAGGTACCGAGTGTATTTGTACAAAAGGCAGCAGAAACGTGAGCAGAATTTACTCAAGGAACAGCAACAACACGGACATCCATTTCGAGGAGGTGCGCCCGGCCCTGATCCGAATAGATTACCCGGAGGTAAGTTTCATCGTGCCCTTTAAGCAAAGAATTAAATCCACCGCGGTGTGTCTTATTATACTTTATTATACGTCTCTTCAGCCTCTCGTCAACGTTTTCATTGTGTCTCGTCTCTACGTTTTATTTCGAGAATTAAACGAATGATCTTTCTTTCTTTCTTTTTTCATTCTCGTTTTGTGTAGATTTGATTGCATTATCTGTGGTTTAGGTTATATCTTTTATGGAACAGTACTGTGGAGTGAAAAAAAAGAAAGAAAAAAGAAAAATTGAAAGATGAGAGATCTTTTGTGTTTTCTCCGATGTTGATTGATCTTTCAAAAAGATCTTTTGCCACGACTAAGAGGAATCGTGAATGTAACGTCAACGAAAAGGACGTTTGTAAACTCTCGAGAAAGGAAATTAATTTTACTGATACGAAGCTCGTAGAAATTCTAATTTAAAATAATTTAAAATATTTTAAATAATTTTATTAATATTGATTTAAAATATTTTAAATAATTTCAATATTGATTTAAGGTATTTAAAATAATTTCAATATTAATTTAATAATATTTATTCAATAATAATAAAAATAATTTTAATATTAATTTAAAATATTTAAAATAATTTCAATATTCATTTAAAATATTTAAAATATTTAAAATGATTTCAATATTCATTTAAAATATTTAAAATAATATTAATATCGATTTAAAATATTTAAAATGATTTTAATATTAATTAAAAATATTTAAATATTTTCAATATTAATTTAAAATATTTAAATATTTTCAATATTAATTTAAAGTATTTAAAATATTTTAAATATTTTCAATATTAATTTAAAGTATTTAAAATAATTTCAATATTAATTTAATAATATTTAAAATAATTTTAATATTAATTTAAAATATTTAAAATAATTTCAATATTAATTTAAAATATTTTAAATAATTATTTTAAATAATTTAAATACTTACAATATTAATTTAAAATATTAAAAATAATTTCAATATTAATTTAAAATATTTAAAATGATTTCAATATTAATTTAAAATATTTAAAATAATTTCAATATTAATTTAAAATATTAAAAATTATTTCAATATTAGTTTAAAATATTTTAAATAATTTTCCAGGAAAATTACTCTCCTTTCCAATCGATATCACATATAAAAATGCTTAGAGAATTTACTGGCGGAAGCTTGTGTCTGAAAAATTCAGGGGGAAGAAAGGAACCTTTTAATAAAGACAAATGAACGAGCCAGTCGTTCCCAAAGTATTCGATGATTAAATTTCGTTTCAAGATTCTGTCCGGTTCTTATCGCGGAATAATCGATATCTCGATAAATTGAAATACCGGGAAGCGATATCCGGACAGCGGGTACTTACAAAAGAACCAGTTTAAATCAGTCAGCTCGGCTCGTCTCGCTGCGATCGCGGAAGCGCTTCTTTTAGGGGCGAGGGCGTACACGATCAAAGATTCCTGGAAATATCTGCCTCTGTTCCGCGCGATTGCTTGAGAATATCACTTGAACCGACGCTATTATTGGAGAGAATAATAGAGGATCTCAGACGATAGAGTGTGTTTGGAACAATGTGAATGATCGTGGATTCTAGAGATAATACTTGTTTCATTCTATTGAACGTAGGGGAAGAAACGCGTCCGTTTTGCACCACACGTGTTCATTAAAAAAATTCAATGTCTCGTAAACGATTTAGACGTCTCTGTTTATTATTATATCGCTGCCCTGCTTCTTTCATTTTGTTTCAGCGAGTTCTATGGCTTCTGGTAAAATTACAGTATTGTGTAAATTAAAATTTCAAATTGTGTATGTTATATTATGTTACATTATTGTATTATATTATTTTAGATATTGTCTAATATTATTATATATAATATTATATATAATATATTATATATTTTTATATATATTATAATGTTATAATTTTATATATATTTTGTTTCTTTCATTTTGTTTCAAGTTCTATGGCTTCTGTTATAATTACAGCATTGTGTGAATTAAAATTTCAAATTGTGTATTTTATATATATTATTATATTATGTTATATTATTGTATTATATTATTTTATATATTGTTCTATTATTACATTATTATTATATATATTATAATATATAGTATATTCATAGTATATTATATAGTATTTATAGTATAGTATATTATATTATAATATATTGTACATTTATATGTTATAATTTTATATATATTTTATAGTATATTATAATATATACAAAAATATTATGATATATATGTTATATAAATGTACTATATATTATAATATATAATATAGTATATAGTATATATTATAATATATAGTACATTTATATGTTATAATTTTATATATATTTTATATATTTTATATATTAGATAATAATATTCTATTATTATATTATTATCTAATATCATTTTTATTATATTATTATACTATGTATCATACAATTACATATATTATAATACGTACATGGAAATGATATTGTCATGAGTGGAACATGAAATTCAGACATTCTCAATTGTCTAATATCGTATATAAATTGTAAACGAAATTTTTTATTGCATAATTAGAACTCGAGAAGAACGTTTCGTACGAATTTTTTTTCCTATTTAAGGCTCTTTACGTTGGATTCTGAATATATACATACAACATTATATTTTATAAATCACGAACCAACCATGCACAGCAATAAGTCTTACATATATATATATATATGTATTTCCAGTAAAATTTACTTGAAATTTTAACACGACACGGTCCCTCGTCAATAGCAATTAATAAAAGTAAAATTTCTCTCTTCCGTTTGACAGACATTCGATCCCACGAGAAACTGTCATCCCGTTTCAGAAACGAACATTTTCAATAAAAAAAAAAAGAGATTTAAACGAGCGTCAATAATTACCGACTCACCGAAGCTTAAAATATCACTTTTATCGGCGCTCGATTAATATTTCCCAGAACGGCCTCCCATCTGTTATAATTGACGAATCGTCGAATTTCAACGTCGTTATTCATTCGATCTTTCTGTTGTCCGCTCGTCAGATAGGAGAATCCATCACGGTAGATGTCCCCGATTGTTGGCGGCTTTGGAGTACGCGGAACAGCAGCAACAGCAGCAGCAACAACAACAGCAACAGGGCATCGGCAGCGGCGGAGGATCGCTCACTGATTTCCCAGCGAACAGCCCTCCGACGCAGGCTGCGATCCTCGCCACCGCCATTAACAACAACGGCGGCAGCAACGGGAACTTGGCGATCGCGCCACGCGCCAGTCCTGAAATGTCGGAAGCGGACGTTTCGTCGAACGTGTGCCACGTGGGACTTCACAGGACATCGTCCGTGTCCTGCAACGGGAGCGACAACGTTCTCTCGAACGCGACCGAGGCGAGCATTCAGGTACGCTTTGTGTGCACGTTGCTTTAAATCGTTGGCCGGCAGTTTTGCAAAGAAGATGTCTTTGAAATGAAAGTGAAACATTCTATATGAATGATTTAGATCGAATGGACTTCGATCTAAATGAAGTAGATAAACTTTGAAATAATTTTAAATAAACTTTAATATATTTTGTTTATAGAGAACGAATTTAAATAAAACTTTGTGTATTTCTTGTATGTGTTAACGTGTTTTAGTTAATATTATCTTTTGGTCGTGACAAATTGTACAGTAGTAAAAATTTGGATATTTGTTAACTTTGTTAACACAAGATTGTAACATTTTTCTTTTATTTCAAGGGAATTTTATTTTTCTTACCTTTTTTTTTATTTTTCTTTCGGTCATGCCTTTTTTTAAAAATTAGGAAAGTTATTTCATTAATTTTGAAAGTTAACTTCAACATATTTCATGTATACAGAATGAATTTAAGTCAAATTTCGTATATGTTATATATTTTATACGTGTAATATATAGTTTAGTAATTTTATTTTTTGGTGTGACAAATTGTATGGCCGTACATAGTAAAAATTTGGATATATTTTAATTTTACAACACAAGATTGTAACATTTTTCTTTTATTTTAAGGGAATTTTATTTTTTTTGAATATTTTCTTTTCTTTTAAGGGAATTTTACTTTTTTTACCTTTTTTTCTAAATTTTTCTCAGTCATGCCTTTTTTTAAAAATTGGGAAAGTTATTTCATTAATTTTGAAAGTTAACTTCAACATATTTCATGTATACAAAATGAATTTAAGTCAAATTTCGTATATGTTATATATTTTATACGTGTAATATATTTTAGTAATTTTATTTTTTGGTGTGACAAACTGTATGGCCGTACATAGTAAAAATTTGGATATTTTTTAATTTTACAACACAAGATTGTAACATTTTTCTTTTATTTTAAGGGAATTTTATTTTTTTTGAATATTTTCTTTTCTTTTAAGGGAATTTTACTTTTTTTACCTTTTTTTCTAAATTTTTCTCAGTCATGCCTTTTTTTAAAAATTAGGAAAGTTATTTCATTAATTTTGAAAGTTAACTTCAACATATTTCATGTATACAGAATGAATTTAAGTCAAATTTCGTATATGTTATATATTTTATACGTGTAATATATTTTAGTAATTTTATTTTTTGGTGTGACAAATTATATGGCCGTACATAGTAAAAATTTGGATACTTTTTAATTTTACAACACAAGATTGTAACATTTTCTTTTAAGGCATTTTCTTTTTATTTTTTTATCGTTTTCATTCGTGTCTTTTTGTAAAAATTAAAAAAAGTTATTTCGCCAATTTTGAAAGTGGCCCAAGTCCATTTGTAACCATAAGAAACGCGTTACTTTCTAAACAATATTCATCGTACTAATTGATAAATTGATTAAATATCCTTAGAAAGACAAAAGCATTATACCACCATGCTACCAGCTACCAATATTTTCAAATTTATCAAAACGCAAAACCTCTTACGCTAGAATGATCGAGAATTTTTAGTTTCAAGTATATTTAAATACAGCCCAGCAACAAAACAAATAACAAATTTATTACTTCTCAATGAATCCATAGTGATGTCATCACCGACGAGCTCGAAGGTAAAAGAAAGCGACGAATTATTGTACGTATACGGTATTTCGGTCGTTCGTTATGGTCCGCAAATCAGTTGGCGGGGCGCAACTGGTGACATTTTCCTCGAACTTGAACAACGTTTGAAAATTGGGCCACTTTCGGAAACAAAACGCGGATCGCGAGAAAATTCCTCTCTCTCTCTCTCTCTCTCTCTTGAATTTTAATTCCCACCCCCTGTTTTGATATTGAACTGCGCCCTCAGACGAACAACGCGCTGCTAAGTCCGCCTTGCACGAACTATCGTAGAAGGAGCAGCGTGATGTTCAGCGACGTGGTGTTGCTGCACGGCAGCAACAGCGTCGGGAACGCGTTGCAGGCTGGCACGGCGATGTCGCCCGGCGAACGGAACGTGTGCTCCAGCGAAAAAATGACGCAGACCGGTGACGGGATTGTTTGGTCGAGTCCACTGCCAGACCACATACAGGTACACTCTACTTACACCGTGTACGTACATACATACATACATACGGGGCGCGCTGTACACCATGTGTCCATTGCATTCGCGTGATTTGTCATGTGCACGTGTCACCGCAGATGCAGGCCGATTTGGGGGGAAACGAAGCCATGACTTGTCAAGAATTGCTGGCGTTAAGCGGCGCTTTAAGCGCCGCGCTACCAACCGGACAGCTAGCCTTGGATTCTTTTCTCAACTCCCTTACCAAAGGTAAATGTCGCTTGACACCTCCGGCTTTTTAATCATCCGTGGATTAAATTTTGGGTAATTGTAGATTTCGCTTCTGAATTCAATTATGTTACGTTGTAAATTAAATTTCAATTTAGTTGTAAATTTTGCATTTAAATTCAATTATATTACGTTATAAATTAAATTTCGCTTCTAAATTCAATTATGTTACGTTGTAAATTAAATTTCAATGTAATTGTAAATTTCGCATCTAAATTATATTACGTTGTAAATTAAATTTCAATGTAATTGTAAATTTTGCATTTAAATTCAATTATATTACGTTGTAAATTAAATTTCAATGTAATTGTAAATTTCGCATCTAAATTTAATTATATTACGTTGTAAATTAAATTTTAATGTAATTATAAATTTTGCATTTAAATTCAATTATATTACGTTGTAAATTAAATTTTAATGTAATTGTAAATTTCGCATTTAAATTCAATTATATACGTTGTAAATTAAATTTCAATGTAATTGTAAATTTCGCATCTAAATTCAATTATATACGTTGTAAATTAAATTTTAATGCAAGTTATATTGTAAATTGAATTTTAATACAAGTTGTATTATAAATTAAATTTTAGTATAAGTTATATCATAAATTACATTTCAATATAAATTATATTATAAATTGAATTTTAAATTATTTTAAAATATCAAATTTTAGGAAATTTTGGCAATGTTTAAGTTGATTAATATTGATTAATATTGGTGTAATGTTGTAATGTATTGTAACAACTATGGCATACTACGTTGCAACGTATATTGCAATTTACTATTACATTGTGATAATACATGAGAATTACTAAATTATAAAGCAACTGTGAAATTTAAGTTTTTACGATGCGAATTGAATTTCGGGTATAATGTGAATTTCATAACGTGATATGAAATTTTGGGAAATTTACAATAATATTGATACAAATGTAAGATTGTTATTAATATTAATATAATATTGCACTGTGTACACCATGTTACATTGTAATTTATGTACATTTATGTATATTGTAATTTACAACGACAATTTGTCATAATTACTAAATTATAATGCAACTGTGAAATTCAAGTTTTGTAATAAAAATTGAATTTTGGATGTAACGTGAAATTTTGGTAAATTGCAGTACATCATATTTAGTATGTTACGTTACAATATGTCACAATTATATTATAATATAATGTATTATAATACAATATTAAATTTCCAAAATTTAATACTGCATTGTATACAATATACAAAGTTTATAGTACGTTTTCTGTTGGTTGTAACGAACAATGAAAAGTTAAGCGAGAAAACGATTGAATGTAAAAATTACATTTAAACTAATTTAAATTAATTTAATTTAAAAATTTAAATTATAGACGAAATTATATAATTTCGAGAAACTAACTAAGAGAGTTTAAGGAAAATGAGAGCAACATTTGAAATGAAATTTTACTGTAAAATCTAGCTTCTAAAATACAATTCCAGCTTATATTTTCAATTTAATCGTTACATGTATAATTGCTAATATCATAAAATGCAAAGATTGAAAGATTCATTCTCAAATGAGACACAATTAATTTACGATTAGCTCTCGATACAAAATTGCCTTAATCCCCATAAATTGCCACTTGAGACAGCAAAGTCGTATATTTTCAGTCACATTCGAAAAATTTGAAATTATTTAAAAAAAGAAATTTGAAAAATATCCCGATTTTACGAATTGTTAAAATTGCTATTTATGTGAAAAATTGAGCATTTGAGTATTGAGTATTTGAGTATTTGAGCATTTGAATATTGAGTATTTGAGTATTTGAGTATTTGAGTATTTGAGTATTTGAGTATTTGAGTATTTGAGTATTGAGTATTTGAGTAATGAGTATTTGAGTAACGAGTATTTGAGTATTGAGTATTGAGTATTGAGTATTTGAGTATTTGAGTATTTAAGTATTGAGTATTGAGTATTTGAGTATTGAGTATTTAAGTATTAAGTATTGAGTATTTTCTCGGTAATTTTAGCTCGGTAGCGAAGTGTCGAGAGACATCAGCAACAAAAGTGGAAACAGAGATATATGAAACTTTCGGTGGAATTAGTCTCTATTATCATTTATACAATAATGTACGATTATCATAATCGTACGTTGGCGTGTTGCGTTCGATTTGACACGCGTCTATGTAGAGGGGCATTTATTTCAGGAATCACGGATCGACATATTACCCTGGAGGATCGTACGCAGTGGTTAGCGTCGGACATTGATAATTGCTCGTGTTGCTGCGAGCTGCAGGCCACTGATCAGTGGCCAGACGAAGGTGACAAATGGGCGAAGAGTTCTCGGACGAGGCGAGTGCTTCGAACATGCGGGAACCGGTGTGTCTGCGCGATACGCTGCGTAAGACGGTCGATCAAGAAGCTGGTCGAGCACAAATATTTTCAACAGGGTATCCTATTGGCGATTTTGATCAATACGCTGAGCATGGGGATAGAGTATCATAACCAGGTCAGTGTTTTATCTTTCTATCGGTTGGCGTGGTCAGTGTGTGTACACAGTTGATAGAAGCGACGTGCAACAGAGGGGGGGTCAGAAATTGGAGCATTAATGGTTGACACCGATTGATCGTCACGCGACTTTATCGCGCACGTATTGAATTTCGATTCGCCGACGAGCGACATTTGAAGTTTCTTCGTTTACCAAGTTGTGCAAATGTATATATATATATATATATTTTATACTTGAATTTTACCCTCAAATTGCAAAGTTGTTCGTTGACTGGTGTATAGAGTTTCTTCGTTGCGCGCGAGAATTTTCAAAATTATTAAAGTTCCTGAGTTTCACGTTTCAAACTGCGAAAATCATATTTTTTCGAGTTTGACGTTTCAAATTTCTGCTATTTCTGTTATTTGTACTGTGTGCACGCGAATTATTATTATTAAACGACTGTTAGAGTAGTGAGTAAGCTTCAATGTCTGACCAATTTTATGGCTTTACTACGTGTACCGCTTCTATCAATTGTGCTTCTCTCTTTATTTTATATTATATTGTTTCATTTTGTATTTACGTTCACGTTATGTTTTATTATTCATTTTATGTTATATTATTACTATATTGTTATTTACTTATTATTAAATTATTTTACTACCTTATGTTACATTATAATTATATTTTAAGCGAAGCATATCATTTAAATTACAGTTCCAAGGAATAACTATTTAAACTTATTTTTGATCTTTCAAATGTTCACATTGCTATTTGCGTTTGCATGGAACTGATGGTCATACTTGGAAAGATAAATCTACGGATTAACCCCTTGTTCCAGTCTAAACGAAACGAAGGAAGATTCTGACAGATTTCTAGTTTGTAATTTCCTCCATGATAGTTACGTGGGATACCTTGCATAAATATATACATACCTGTGACACTTTTCTTTATTTGGAATGAACATGTAGGTGAAGTTTGTTATTCATTGTACACACGATACATAATTATAAGATAACAATAAATAATATAACACAATATAATAAAAAAGTAATGTAATGAAAGTAATATATAACACAATATAATAATAAAACACAATATAATAAAAAAAGTAATATAATAAAAGCAATATATGTAATAATATAGCACAATGTAATAAGAAAAAGTAATATATATAATAATACAGCACAATATAATAAAAAAAGTAATATACATAATAATATAACACAATATAATAAGAAATAGTAATATGTATAATAATATAGCACAAATAATAAAAAAAAGTAATGTAATAAAAGTAATATATATATAATAACACAATGTATAATAATAATACACAATATATTAATATGTAATATATATTAAATGTATACAATATATTAATATGTAATATGTACACAATATATTAATATGTAATATGTACATAATATATTAATATGTATAATAATATAATACAACATATTAATATATATTATATATTACACAATATACTATAATAATATAACACAATATAATAAAAAAAAGTAATATATATAACAATATAGCACAATATAGTAAAAAAAAGTAATATGATAAAAGTAGTATATATATATATATATATATAATAACATAACACAATATATAATAATAATACACAATATGTGACAATATACAATAACTCTTAATTAGTAATTCTTATTGACGTGATTTGAAAAAAAAAAAAAAAAAATGTACGAAACATAATTTCGAGGCATCGTGATTGCGACGTAAACCACGAAAAGTCGTGAAACATCATTGAGTCCATATATTTATTCTGTGTGCACATATATACACGATTCATTATACAGTAACACAATACATACTTATATAATACAATACGCAATACACATTACAATACCCGCGACTTGACACATTTAATAATTCTTATTTGCACTTCTGCTCTTTCAATTCTGTTCCCTGCACGCTCTTTCATCCGGTGGCAGAATAAAACGCGATACGTAATACAATGAAACAGCAACGGCGCACTTAATAATTCTTACTCCGTACTTTCTCCTCTTTCAATTCTGCTATTATACACCCAGGAGGTCTTTTGCCCTCCTTTCTTCTCTTTATCTCAAAACGCGTGTCCTCTGTTCCTTCCATTCGCCCGCTTCGCTTTGTCCAGACGAACGTCGACGTTTCTGCAAAATATTCCAATCACGTTAAGTCTTGGTCGGGGAAAAAAGGAACCACAGTTTTCGTTTACCGCGCAATATGCAATTTCGAAACAGCTGGCTGGCTTCGCAAATTCTCGAATTCCGTGTGCGGCAACAACCGCGGATTAATTAACCAGCGCTGTCTCATTCTCCCAAAAATTTGCCACGCCTGTCATTTTTCCTGCTCCCTTGTCAGCCTTTAATTGCAATGACAAGAAGTTTCGTAATTTTTCTCCCGAGAGATTTCACATATTTTTATAACGAACGAATTATTTGTCATTGAATTGACCGAGAGATGACCGAGGGGAAAAGTAGCTAAGTTTTTGGAGATTCTTACTTACCAAAAAATAGAAAAAAGAAAAGACAATTGAGTTTCGGAAGTTCTTGCATTTACAATTCTAACAATTGTATTAATTAAATTTATTAAACAATTGGAGAACTTTCGAAAACTAAAACGAATCGACTAATTGACAAAGAATTGAAGTTTTAAATTGAATTAGAAAGTGTAATCAGATCGTTCCAAATGTTTATTGTAATCAAATGCCGAGTGAATAAAATTTTTTTGCAATTACAAAACTTTTGTTACGCGATCACGAATTTAGGTGGTTTCCGAGCCAATTTTTTTGAAAGGTTTCTAGATCATTTTTCTAAAAGGCTTCATAATTAATTCGAACAAAGTCTTCATTGTGATTCTTCGAATTCCTCTACTCCATTTTTCATCGGAATAGTTCTTTTTCGAACTATTCTTTTCCCGTCGTTCTTGGATTTGGAACATTTTCCCTCCAAGAACCACCGTAACAGTCAAAGTGAATAGCGATCGGAAAGCACTGAGTTAACTCATTTGTTTGTTTCCTCCTTAAGAAGAAGAAGAGGAAGAAGAAGAAAAGAAAAGAAATAGGAGAAAGAATTTGCAAGTTTTCTCCTGCAACTAGTGAAACTTGAAAAGTTACTTCTCCTGCTGCTGTTCGCGGGTGGGTGAAGTGCAGTGAATCTGGTTTATCTACTGAACAGAATTTACTGCTGAACTTTTAACCGTAATCTATCGAATGACAGGCGTGCCTGGGTTATTTTTATACCGTGACGATGAAGGCATAATAAAAGTCAGATCAATCGGGAATATTCAATATTAAGATTTGAAATAATGTTTGCTGGCGCGACGATAATAATTTTGGGGCTTTGAGCAGATGTCTATGTTTAGTACAGGGAAATTTTGCTTGCTCGTTGCAAATAAAAGTGGAAAAATATTCTTAATAAGGGTTTCTGAAATGATATTAATCAAATTTAGATTTAGCGTTATATATTGACGTATATTGTTAAAGCGCACAAAATATTATAATTGTTACAATTAAAATTTTCAATCGATCATTTAATTAATATTATATTTAATATAATATATTATATAATATATATGTAATAAATATTATATAATATTTATACTATATAATTATATGTAATGTATTGTGCATATTTAATTAATATTATATTTAATATTATATTATAATATATTATACAATATATATGTATATAATAAATATTATATAATATATATAATATATTAGATAAATTTAATTAATATTATATTTAATATAATATATTATATAATATTTATACTATATAATTATATATAATAATATATTAATATATATAATATTATATATAATATATATTATATATTTAATTAATATTATATTTAATATAATTAATTATGCTTAATAAATTAATTATTTATACTTAATAACTTAATTAATTATATGTATATAATAAATATTATATAATTATATATATATAATATATTATATTAATAAATTTAATTAATATTATATTTAATATAGTATATTATATAATATTTATACTATATATATTTATATTAAATTATATATATAATGTATTATACAAATTTAATTAATATTATATTTAATATATATATATATATATATATATATATATATAATATATTTAATGAATATTAATTTATAGTGTTGAATTTATATGTAACAATAATATTAGAATTATTTGAAATTAAAATTTCACTTCAGGTCGTTTAACATAAATTTAATACTATTTTGCAATTTTCAGTTAATAATAATAATTATAGCGTAAAATTTTTCACACGAACGGCAGATGACATTTCCTCTTTACGAATTTTTCTAAATCTACCTCGTCGTGCAGAAAATTCAGATTTTATAAAAAAAAAAGGAGAACTCACTTGAACTCGATGATCATTCATAGTTTGTCGCGATGTATAATTTACTCTTTTGTAATTATACGATTGTCGAAGCACTAATTGCGTCGAATTCGACGAGCGTCAAGCTAGAATTTGACGCCCAAGTATTATTTAACAGCGCTGTTGTTGGCCAATTAAATTTTGAATGATTTCAACGTGGCTGCGAAATCGGTCATTTCATACGCGGAACAAAACCATCTGCATTTATATTATACATCTATCGTGATAAATTTTACGTGTTGCCACAGTGTGCCACAGTGTTCTACGACACGGCGTATAAAATTCATGGAATCTCTGTTTCCATAGTAAAATAAAATTATACTATTAAGTTCCGTTGGAACTCGTAGAATGCAAGGATCTTAGAACGGTGTTGCTGAGTAAGAAAAAAAAAAAAAAAAAAAAAAAATTGTACTCTTACACGGAGAAAGTCGAGTACAGCCCTTTTCACGGTGTAGCTCGTTTATGGTTTTCCCTTGTTCACGAATTTGTCGGCAACGTTGCACTAAACAGAGCTGTGACCTAAATCTTATAGAGCACATACGAGGGAAAGGAAGGACGAAAGTAGAAGCCAGCTTTTCGAAATGGCGAGGCGAAGTTCATTCGCTCGCGAAACGTGTGTTTGTTCAAAGAATTATACGACGAGTCTTTGAAAAGATATTACGTTGACGAATTTCAATCGATGTATCTTGATTGTTGATTGCTATAATATTCCTATATTATTGCTATATTTTTGAAGAATTTTTTTATTATTGCTGTATATTGCTATATTTTTTTAAAGGAATTTTCGAATTTTCGACGACCTAACATTTAGAATTGAACGAATATGTTTGGCAGAATATTTAAAAACACAAATATTTAAAAACAAGGAGAACCTAAGGAGAAAGAAATAAGATGGAAGAATTTTTTTATTTTGTATAACTATACGCTACAGAAATGATACAAAAAGTCTCCAACAACAGCAGAAACTTTTATTGGAGTTATCATTTTGTTTTCGTTTTTGTTAATTTTTTTTTCCAACTTAATTTGCCCCCTGACGTGAAATTGAAACAGTTGTTACATAATGAAAGAAATAAACAATTAAATTAGCTAATCCTTTTAACAAGTTATTTCAATTCAATTTCACACGAGGTCTGCTTTCAAGTAGTACGAGTCAATTTCACGCGCGCGATCTTATTTTCTCTGGTTCTGTCGCGATCATTTGTTTCGGATTTGTTACAATTATGTTACAATTAAACTATAAATGACAGACGTAATGCGTAATTACGACATAATAGTAATTGGAATTTGAACGCGAATATTATTTGCATCTCTGATGGCGTGTTTTGTTGAGAATGTGTGTTGGACATATGTTACACGTTGGAAAATGTAATAATATAGTATTAAATATAATTAAAATAACATATGTAATATATAATATATAAAATATCTATATAAATAACTATATAAAAAAATAAATATATATGTAGAATATGACAATATTTCATAAGAAGTCTATTAAATCGATATGAGGAACGGGTGATGGTTAAAAATAATATATATAAAATATATATATTATATATAATAATATATTAATAATATATATATAATATAATAATATAATAATATATATATAATATAATAATATAATAATATATATAATATAATAATATATATATAATATATATAAAATTTCTCAAATTTGTTTAAGAGCAACAAAATTTTAAATTGTAAGGTGTAATTTCTTCTTTTTTTTTTTTTTTGGTTTTATGTGGAGGGAAGATTGTAACGACTGACATGGTTGAAGTATCGCTATAAATTGTAATATATATATAAATATAAATTGTAATATAAATAAATATAAATATAAATATAAATTGTAATATAAATAAATATCTAATATAAATATAAATATAAATATAAATATAAATTGTAATATATATATAAATATAAATAAAAAATATAAATATAAATATAAGTATAAATATAAATATAAATATAAATATAAATATAAGTATATATATAAATATAAATATAAATATAAACTATAAATATAAATATATATATATATATTTATTCCGCGTATTTCGTTTCCAAATTTCTCACAGATACACAAAACGAAAAATCTCGAACAGCGCGTTAAACTCGCAAAGGCAGACGATCCCACGCGAGAAGGCGAAACAAAATTTTTCCGTTTCGAAGCTCTTCCGTTCTGTCCGAGAGAATTGACGTTGACACGTTGATTCCGCGAGACAAGGGGTTAATTCACGTTTCGTAGCGAGCTGTACGGTAAGCTATATCGTAAAACGCTGGTGTTCTGTTTTCTGTTGGCCGATCGACAGCCAGAGCAATTGACCATAGTGGTCGAGATAAGCAATATCGTATTCTCGGCCGTCTTTGCTGTGGAGATGTTGCTCAAGATCATCGCCGAAGGACCGTTTGGTTACATAAGCAACGGATTCAACGTTTTCGACGGGGTCGTCGTGGTTCTCAGGTATGCAAACGAACTTTTTCACTTCTCTGAAAAGAAAAAAAATTAACGAATTTGTCGAAAATGAATTCAATCATAAATACTGTGACGCTTGAAAATTTTATTTTTCCAATTTTCACGAACTTTCCTTTGTCAACTGAATTACGTTCGTATCAAGACACAGGTTTGGCAAAATTAACGTGAAAATTAGAGTCCAAAACGCTGACGTTTCCTTGATATATCTCAAATTTCTCTCAAATGTCCAATACCAAGTACGTTTGCAAATTTCGAAGAAAGAAGAACGAACTTTCACCATAATGACAAATAGTTCACTTAGATAAATATTAATCGATATAAAAATAATGAAAAGAAAATGAAATTTAACTTGATTTAACTTCAAATACAACAATAAATTTATCAGAAACAATAAATTTTAAGTAACAATAAATTTATCAGAAATTATTGGAATTACAAATTATTATACAACGACAGAGTTTAAGATACAAATTTTCATTACTTCAGCTAACAGAGAACCGCGAGAACAAGTTTGAAAAGAACATAACGAAAATGAAACTTCCGAAAATTCTGTCAAACATCGCGTCGTCGTCATTACGTGGAAATATATTCGACGAAGAATCGTTTCCACGATTCAATTCCCGTCGATGTAGGAATTGTCAGGAAATGCTGTGCACTGTGTGCTTAAAAGAGGAAAGAAGAGAGAAAAAGAAAACGAGAGAATTTTCTGTTGGACGTGAATAGCGTGGTGGAGATTTGTCAGGCGTTCGTGGAGGAGAGGAGCGGAAGTTCCGGGCTGAGCGTGTTGAGGACCTTCCGGCTACTGAGAATCCTGAAGCTCGTGCGTTTCCTACCGAACCTCCGGCGACAGCTGTTCGTGATGCTGCGCACCATGGATAACGTTGCCGTATTCTTTTCCCTTTTAGTACTTTTCATCTTTATATTCAGGTAAGTTGTTCCCCTTTCCCTTTTCGGCGACCGGTGCTCGCGGTCTTTAGAAAAAAAAAAAAACGAGAAACGGTTTCGCGCGGCCATCATTGTCTCTCGCGCGTGAAACATCGAATTATAACGCGAATTCGCGACGAACGTTGACCGATACCATCTCGTCGAGCATAATCCGAGAGTATGCACGACCGAGCTGAGGTTAAAGAACGAATCATTTATGGATACTGTGATACAATATGGATGGATTACTGAATTGGTGGAGAGACTGTTTAAAGGAACAGGGAGCTAACGAGAAGTGTCAACGAGTGCCATCGATCAGAGACGTGATTTTTACGCAATTTGTAAATTTGTGAAGATGGAAGTGGAAGTAGTATGGATGTAGTATTATAATTGTTCGAGGTACGATGTTATTTCGATGCATTTTCAGTAATTAATTTTGAATTTGCATAATTTTTTAGTCGTACAATTTAATTTAGATGATTTTTACTTGCATAATTTAACTTGCAATACATAATTTTCATTTGTGTACGTAATTTAATTTATAATACATAATTTTTAGTTGGATAATTTAATTTACAATACATAATTTTTTCTTACATAATTTAATTTCTTACAATAGCTAATTTTTACATATGTACATAATTTAATTTATAATACATAATTTTTACTCGGATAATTTAATTTACAATACATAATTTTTACTTACATAATTTAACTTGTAATACATAATTTTTACTTATGTACATAATTTAATTTATAATACCTAATTTTTACTTGGATAATTTAATTTACAATATATAATTTTTACTTATATAATTTAACTTAGAATACATAATTTTTACTTATCTGTATAATTTAACTTACAACACAATTTTTACTTAGATAATTTAATTTACAGTACATAATTTTTACTTACATAATTTAACTTACAATACATAATTTTTACTTATGTACATAATTTAACTTATAATACATAATTTTTACTTAAATAAATTAATTTACAATACATAATTTAACTTACAATACATAATTTTTACTTATGTACATAATTTAACTTACAACACATAATTTTTACTTACATAATTTAACTTACATTACATAATTTTTACATACATAATTTAACTTATACTATCTAATTTTTACTTACATAATTTGATTTAAAACAGATACACTTTGAAACATAATTAATATTTCCAAGCGTAACGTCTCAGAGTGCTTTTCTATTAAATTTTTCAAATGTAGGCAACTAGAATGTTTAGCTCTCGCAGGAGAACAAAGTATCACTGTCAAAGTGTAGAGTATGTAACAAACGTAGATCTCACAGATGAATAAAGAATTATTTTCTTTGAATATCAGTTAATTAAAATTTGAATGACTAAGTTCCTGCAAAAGAAGTCGCGTTAACAAACAAGAAGGGTAAAATACCGGCTTCGAAATTCACTTGTAAACGAACGGACATTATATAATTAATCATTTTTATTGAAATTAAAGTTTTCTAAAATTAAAAAAAAAAAAAAAATTGCAGTAAAAAATTACAGTATCCGCCAAGCGTATAATAATAACAATAATAACACAGTATAACGCAACGATATGACGGTCGACGACGGATCCACGGCCTCGTTGACATTTATCGTATTTTGAGAAACAGCTTCTTGCCCGCTTCCGAGCTTCCCACAGGAGCCGAAGCTAGTATGTCACTGCTCTTCGAACACGAAGTGTATTAGGTGACTATGTCTTCCGTCTTTTATACACTCCCTTTTTTGTCTTTATTATTTCACTTCCTCTTTATGCGCTTACTTCCTTTTTTTTTTTTTTTACGTTCTCTCTCACGGCATACCGAATCGCCGCGTAAAACTGCATCTCACATTATATATATATTATAGATGAACCGAGCCGCAGCAGTTCTCTCGTTCTACATTTTATTTATACTACCGACACTGTTGCGTTTGCGGCTGCAGCGCGTCCTTCTTTTTTTTTTTTTTCTGACGTTTGTTAATGGTAATGAACATGATGGGTGTTTTGTTGGCACGTGTCTACGAGGGGTGTCTTGTTGGCCCTTTCTCATCGCTTGAGGCATCGGATTTGTATTATTATTATTATTATTATCATTATTATTATCATCGCTACTACGATTATACTGTTTCTTTCTTCGTATTTTTCCAAATTTGTTTCACCTCTTCGTCTCATCACCACCGTTTTTACATTTTTTTTCCTTCTTCTTCTTTGAATTAGAGGACACCCGTTATACATACGAATATATATATACGTATATATACATATTTTCATATATCAGACGTATATTATATGAAAATATAAATATACATATATTTTTTTAATAATTTTACATATATATTTCAAATATATATATATATATTTTTATAATTTTATGTATATATATTTAAATAATATATATATATAATTATATGTCATTTAAATACTATGTAATATTATAATATAATATTATATAATTATTTAGTATTTAAATATTATATAGTATTATAATATTACAATATATATTAATAATATTAATATTATATAATTATTTAATATATACATTTAAATAATATATATAATTTATATTATACATATATTAATATTAATATTCAAGTATTATAATATATTAATATTATATATTATATAATTGTTTAATATTTAAATAATATATTTTTTTATTAGTTTTATATATATATATATATATGTTTCAAATATATATTTTCATGTATGCATGATACTTTTATTTAGCGACGAGTATGAGAGCTATATGTATATATATATTCTATTACTTATTAATTATCCGTGTATTCGTACGTCTTGTTTTCTCATTCTACTGCCCCTCGTTCTACTTCTCCTTCATTTTTATATGCTATGTACTTTCTATAAGTGCCTACAGAAGTGCGCCTCGGTGTGGTCATCGATATTAGACAGCTTGCGAATGGATAAATATGTATCTCTTTCGGTTATTTCGTTATGCTGCTCGCTATCACGCGGTTCTTTTTTAACAAGCGAACGAATCAATCAGTCGATCGATCGATCGATTCATCGAGCTTCGTGTTCATTTTCTTTCTCACGCCCATTGTCAATCCTGAGTCTGACGTTTCGAATCTCCTGAGGTATGAATTTTTCCATTTCGACGGGATTTTTTTTAAATATCGTGACATCACATATATATATATATATATATATTTATTTATTTATTTGTTTGTTTTATTCGTTGTTTCTTTTTCTTTTTTTTTTTGATCTCTCGATGAGAAATCAGATGGTATTCACTATCGGCCAGAAGCATGATCCTCATTGCTAGTTCTCATTGCCAGGCTGTGACAAGCTGTATGTGTATTTAATGTGTTCGAGTTTCGTTTGGTTTACAGTGACGGTTAATCGTGCTGCAGCGTTATGGGGTTTAACGCATTGAGTTTCTCGATATGGTTCGACGGCGAGTCTTGAAATGTTGATACATTGAGCGTTTGAAAGGAATTATGCTTTGTACTCTGTGTTATGTTTTGTACTCTGTAGCAGACATGTTGCAATTATTTTAGCAGTTGTTCACGAGGAGCAATTTCATAATTTCACGTTTCAACGCTGGAACTACCAATGACCGAGGCACAATGAAAGTTAAGATATAACGAACATATAAGAATTAAATAAAGGTTAAAAAAAAGAGAGCTTATACATATTTATATATATATAATATTTTTTTATATATAATTGTATAATATTATAATATTTTATTATATAATATAATATTATATTTAATATATGTTATATAATATTATATTTATTATATATTGTATAATATATATATATATATAATTATATAATATTATAATATTTTAATATATATAATTATATAATATTATAATATTTTATTATATTTATATTATATATTTATTATATATTATATAATATTTTTTATACATAATTATATAATATTGTAATATTTTATTTATAATATAATATTATATTTATATTACACATTTATTATATATTATATATTATATATATATAATTATATAATTTTATAATATTGTATTATATTTATATTGTATATTTACAGAATTATATATATATATATATATATATTTATTTATATATATATTGTATTTTACAAAAAAGTCATTTAAATCTCTGAAAATTCCAAAGTTTCTAAATCTCCGCGAGAAACATGGTAGTTCCCGCGTTAAAATCAACACGCATAATTTTCAAATAATCCTTCATTCAAACGAGGAATTGAGTCTACGATTTTTGGCTCTCGAGAAATCTTTGTCCAAGCTATTTCTGCTAAGGTTCTATACTTTTGGCTGGTAGTACGTACCACTATTGCTGAAGAGCTGAAACTTCAGGACAGTTAGATCATTCCAAATTTCTTCTGCAAACACGTTAGAACCTAGCAGGAACGATCAAACAGCCAGAGCGGAGAGCCAGCAGCCGTGAATTACGATCGGAAGATCGGCGATCTGGCGATCCATTAAAAAAAAAAAAAAAAAAAAAAACGGTACTCGGCTTTTCAAATCTTCTTCGCAAAGAGAGACTACTACGCCACGTCGGCGATGTTAATTAATTCGGCGCGATGGTTTACGAATTGATTTGCGCTACTGTAAAGTAGGACGAGCGCACCGACATCAGGCTTCTTTCTTTCTTTTTTTTTTTTCTATACAATTAGCCAGTCGAGTGACTCGATTTACCTTTCAGTCGAGAGAAGCTTCTCCATTTTTCTTCGTTTTCCTTCCTTCCAAATGTTTCTCTCAACCTTGGTATCCGTCACTTTTTGTTTTCAAATCCCGGACCATTCTCACTCGCTCACTCATTCTCTCTCTCTCTCCCCTACATAGAATTATCTATCTATCTATCTATCTATCTGTCTATATATTTACGGATAAGGAAGTACATTGCACGTTTCGTTGTGTTGTAGTATTCTCGGGATGAACCTGTTTGGTTGCAAATTCTGTGAAACGATGAAAGGCAGCTCTGACGTCGAGTGTGATAGGAAAAACTTTGACTCGTTACTC